AGAATAGTTACTTTAGATTAAGTAGAGGGGAGTGAAGGGAGGGGAGGGGTATGTAGAATGTATCAAAGTGCATTCTACTGTCGTGTATAACTAATTAAAACAAACAAACAAAAATTTTAAATGCCTATTCCTGATTTGGGGTGGGGGGATGAAAGAAAAGAAAATACAAATACATATAACAACACAGATGTAACCCAAAAACATTATGCTAAATGTCAAGAATCAAACACCAAAGACTACATTCGTTCATATAAAATTTTAGAAAAGGCAAAACTATATTGACAGAAATTCTATAAAACTATGTTTGCCTGGGGCTGGAAGTTGGGGTAAGAGACTGACCGCAGAAGGACAGCAGGGGATTTTTTATGTAGGACTGCATCATGATTATTGTAGAGATTACATGACTACTTGCAATTACTAAAATGTATTGAATTGCACACTTAAAATAAAGTGAATTTCATTGTATTGTGCCTCAATAAAGTTAGAAATAAATAAATAAAATCCTGCTGTGGGACTGAATTCCTGAGATTACGAAAGAATTGAAATTGGAGGAAGTCCAAGTCTGGACGGGCTGAACAGTTCTCCCAGGTTATTCAAACTGTGGTTAGGAGAACATCTGTGTTAGAGAACAAAAGCCCGGTAGACCAGGTACTCAAAGGGAGGGGCCTGTTCCCACTTTCAACACTCAGATGCAGGTTCCACCCAGGCATGACTCCCCTCACCCCAGGTCTCCTCCTCCTTCTGGCTAATCTGCTTTCAATCTCTTCCTCCATCCAGTCTTTTCCTATTAAACTCAGAAAACCATGAGGAAAGCAAGGCAGTTCATATTGAAGTGTGAATGACTGATAGCCCCAAATTTGTATTTCTTTAGAGGTTGCTTGTTAATACAGAATAATCCTCTTAAAGGGAGAGTTTCTAGCAGCATGGCCTTCACAGGTGTCTTCCAAGTCTGTCCATTGGATAAGGGTGATTCTGCTTTAAGATGTTTTGAGGTCCAAAGAGCCCAGATGAGTAGTGATCATTTTTACTTGTACATCATTCATTCATCCCGTCAGCAGGTATGCACTAGGCACTGATTCTGTTCCATACCTGAAAGGTGTTGGGACAACTGGAGGTATAAAAGGTGCCAACTGGCCAGGAGTATCTGATCCTTGATGAGTCATGGATTTGAGACTTGAGAAGCTGTAGACTTGAAGAGCCATGTAATTAATTACAGTGTGGTGAACCCTTGCTGGGTCTCTAGACAGCCATGCCTAACTGGATCTGGGCAAGTCATAGTGAACTTGCCCTATCAGAGATGAAGTCATAGTGAACTGGGCTTTGACAGGTGAAATGGGGTCTTGCCAAGTAGAGAAGGAAGCAGCCTGGTGAAGGAAGGCATGAGAGACCAAGGAAGAATGATGAAGTGCCATATGGGGTTATATCAGAGAGAGCATGGGTGCTGGAGGGTGTCATAGTAAGGGAGTTAAAGCAGAGGCTGAGACAAGGACCTGGGGGAAGTGCAGAAAGCAGGAGTAAGGGAGACTAAGACAGAAAGCCAATAGCTCGTTATTGATTGGTTCACATTGGCCTCTGTGAACAACTGGGGATCCTTGCTGTCGAAGATCCCTGGGTAATCATCTGAAGCATGCCTCAGAAAGACCCTCCAAAGACAGGATTCTGGGACACTTATTAACCAATGCTTTCCACTGGCCCTGGGATGCTCCTGGGGGTGTTAATTTCCCTATGGAAAATTCCATCTGGGTTACTCTTGAGAGCCTTGTGACTTTGGGGGAAAAAAATGAAGAGCAGTAGGGGTGGGTGCTTGTAGAAAGAGAGACCAGCTTGTGGTAACTGTCCAGTTGAGGCTACAGCAGAAATCTCAGTTATGCTGTGGACAGGTGGAATAGGGCACAAAAGGCATTGGTAATAGAGGGGTCATTCAGCTTGGTGGGTTAAAGGGGACAGCCAGCAAAATAAATCCAGGTAATGATGTTGGAAGAGTAGGCTGGCATCAGAGGATCCATGGTGGAGAAACCTATATGCAAGGCTACAAAGCTTAAACTTAATTTGCCTGTCTCTGGCCCCTAGTAGGTGCTCAACAAATATTTATTGAATGATAAGTGTCAACGACAGATGCACCTGGGTCACACCTTTGCAAAGCTGCTGGGCTTTAGAACTCAGCAGACCAGCTACGTGACCTGTAACCTCTTTGATCTTTCATTTTTCTCTTGCTGAAGTGGCAACAATAATACCTCATTTACAGGGTTGTTGGGAGGGATTCGATGGGATCAAAGATGTATGGCAACTAGAAATATGGACTCAATAATTTTCAGTCACCCTACTCCTGTCCCCATGATAACCCGAAGCCGGATAATAAAGCTGAACTATCCACCAGCTAGAGACAATGAAGGCTGCTCCTGGGATCTGTTTAGAGAAGATGTATGCTGGCATTTCCAGCTATATTGGTCCTGGTGGAAAAAATTAGTGGTTTTGGTAACAACTTCCTCGGGCCAAAAGGGAATCATACCACTGCTTTAATTAAAGGATAGGGTAGAAACTACCCTCCCAGGGAACTTACACATTCAGAAATTGATGTTTATGGTAACTGATAGTTTTCTTTTTTCTTTGTGCATTTAAATATACACACTGGAAGATTTCTCAATCAATATGGTATTGACTGGGATCATCCATCACTGCCATGCAGCATATTTTCCTCCCCTTCTGAAATCTTAACAGAAGTTACAATGCCTATGGATTCCATTTGATGGAATACCCCTGCACTGGCTGGTTGTAAGCACTCACCGGAAGATCCTCAATCCTTCCCAGTGAACAAAGAAAATTGTGATGGCCTCTGGAGCTGCATCACATGGAGCTAAAGTGGGAGAGAAAGCAGATCAAGGAATTAGATAGATAAAGCATTGAGAAATCAGTCAGAATGGAAAATTCTAAATTAGTGTATTTAAAAACATCCATTCTCCCATGTCAGTCCGGGATGAAGACAGATACTCTGAAGATTCATGCCATTGACAACCAAGTTAGAGAAAAGAAAAAAGGAAACAAAGCAAACACAGATTTTTAGCAAGAAAGAAATCCCAGAGTTGAGAAGCCTCTAGGGGAAGCACATCTGCCCCAGTTTGGAATGATAAGCTGCAGGAGGAGCACAGCAGGAATGGCAAGGTGGAGGATGAGTTCATCTTTTCATTCATTCATTCAACTTTCTTCCTTCAACAATTATCCATCGTTTCTATACCACATTGCAAGCAACCACAGAAATATAAAAACTGGCAAAGACAATCCCTGCCCTTGTGCAGTTCTTAGAGGAAATAAAAGTTGTTATTAATAATTATAATAAGATGGAAGCAGAGCAAACAAATAAAGGCACACACGGGATTCAGGGGTGAAACAAACAAGAGAGGGAGGGGCTGGAGAAGGCTTCTCAGAAGTAGAGGTCCCCAGGCTGCCTGTTGTGTGTAGGGAAAAAACAGGCGCTTCAAGAAAGAACAAAAGGCACATGTAAAAGAAACCAGGTCTTTGGGGATAGTGTTGTTAGTAAGCATAGGAGAAAGAGAAGTGGGCAGAAACCAAACTAGATAGGACCTCCTGTGACATGCAAAGAGTTTGGACTCCACCCTTGTGGGTGATGGGGAGTCACTGATCGGTTTGGAGCAAAAAGCATTGATGTTAAGAAACATCTTCCTTTTAGACTTGAGGATTGAATTGAAGGGGATTGAAGTGGAAGCATGATGGCCTGTGCCCACGGTTAAGTGAGTGGCAAGTGGCTGGAGAGAAGGTCCCCGAGTTTAGCTTCGGAGGATGGGAAAAAATTGCAGCTGCCAAGTCATCTTAACCTCTTGAGTATCAATTTCTTCACCAGCAGGAGACGATTTTTTAAGGATTCTCTCGTCAGGAGGCGGACCCCACCCAATCCTGGAGTAGAGGAAAGGCAGGGAAAGTGCAGGGCAGGGGAAAGGAGGGGAAGGGCAAAGTAGGAGTCTCAATCCAGCCCACGGGGAGCCTCTTCCCAGCTCCTTCTTTCCCTCCATAGAGGATGATTGTCTGAGGCCATAAAGAGGAGGAGGGGAGGGTCCTCTACTAGATCGAGGCCCCTGCAACCATGGTCTGGTTCAGTCACAAGACAGCTCCCTCAGCTTTGAAGCAACAAGAGTCTCCAAGCAGAACCATTTGGAGCTTATCACCATTGCCTATTTCTCCCGAGAAGCTCTAGTAAGCAGTGGAGAGATCCTTTAAAGGGACTCAAAAACCAAAGTTTTAGCCCCAGTTTAGGATTAAGCTGCCGTGTGATCTTGGATGAGTTAGTTCCAGGAGCTCCTTAAATCCCTGAGCAGCGCAACACCGTGGATCAGCAGACCTCTGCCTTCGACACCTGCCCACGCCGCCACGCCACATCGCTTTTTTCGAACCTTTTCCTTGTTGGTCCTGGGCGCCAACCTGACTCTGGGCAGGCGACGTTGCAGAGGGCCCGGCGGCGGGAGGTTGGCAGGGACCCAGGGCGCCCCCGCGCGCTCCCTCACACGGGCTCCCGCCTCCTGCCGGCCGCGCGACCCCGCGCTCGGATGCAGGAAGGGGCGCGGACCGCGCGCTGCGGCGGGAGCTGCGCAGCAAGAGGAGACTGGCGGGTGCCAGCGGGCCCTACTGCGGCCAGCACCTGGTGTCGCCAGAGTCTCTGAGGTGGACAGAATCGCAGGCCCGCCCCTCAGTGGCCCTCTCTTGGGCTCCCGGCAGCTCGGGGACGCGCCCGCGGGCTCTGGCCCAGCGCCACCGAGGCTCCGCCCCCGCCACGGCTTTCCCGTAGCCCGAGTCCGTGGGGCGCCGGGCCCAGCCGAGCGACCGCAGACCGCCGGCTCCACGCGTTCTGCCCGGGGCGGGCCCAGGGTCCCCAGGCTCCCGCCTCCACCGCGGCTAGCTGCTTACGTCAGGAAGGCGAAACCCAGAAGAAGAAAAAAAAGGCACGAGGGCGGAAGGGGAAAAACTTTATTTTTTCTCTTCAGGCGCTGAAGCGAAAGGTTGGCGACTGCGCCATCGTGGGCTTCCCTGGGAGAGCCCGGCGCGACCTCAGCCTGCTGTGGCGCAGAGGATCCGGGCCGCGAGGCCCGACGGGGCGCCCAGCATGTGGGACCCGCAGGAGTTTGAACGTCACTGGAAGGCCGAATTCCCCGGGGAGGATGCACCGGTCATGAGGCTGGAGTCGGTGCTGGACATGGAGCGGGAGCTGGAGCGCTGCAAAGTCAACCTGAAGCGGCTGCAACAGGTGTTGGCCGAGGAGAAGTTCAAAGTCTTGTACCTGCAGGCGGCCCTGGCCGGGAAGAAGATGGACCTAGGCTGCGAGGATCCGGCGGGAGGAGAAGGCGACAGCCCCGTAGCCACGGCGGAGGAGCGGGCGCCAGCGGAGCCGGGGAGGGCTCCGCCACAGCTGGAGGAAAAGGGCGCAGCGGGTGGCGACGCAGACCCCGCAGGCCCTTCAGGCTCACCAGGCTCCTCAAGCACCTCGCAGCCGGACTCGAAGGAGGCGGGGAAGGCCGAGCCTCCCCCCTACGTGTGCCTAGATCTTCCTACCTGGCCGGTGCCGGCGGAGGGAGGGGGCGCGGTGCGCAGCTTGACTGCTGCCATCCACCAGCAGCTAGTGCAGCCTCGCCTCCTCTTCAGGCTAAAGGAGGACTGCGCGCCCCCGGGCCACGATGGCACCGTTCCTACCCTGCCCAGGGAGGAGCAGTCCTCAGGGACCCGCGCAGGGAGGGGTTCGGAAGAGGGAGAGCCGGACGCTCCCGGCGCGGATGATGGGGGCGACAGCAGTGATCACGACTTCGAGATAGTGGATTTGAACGAGAAATTCGTCCTCGGCCACTTGCTTGTGGCCCCCTGCCGGTTCGGGACCCGCGATGAGACCGAGAAGCCGGCGCGGGCGTGTAGCCCTCACCGCTGGATTCACCTGTTCCCCGGGGGCCGGCGGCAGCAGCGCCGGAGCCGAGACCTAGAGCAGCTGGAGGCAGAAGCCAAGGAAGGTCGGGCCCAGCTCCCGGCGGAGGATGAGCCTCCCAGACGCGGGGTACGTGATCACTTCCCCCAGTGGGGGCGCAAGAGGTTTCTGTGGGTGCCGGAGAAGGACTCGCCCATTCACAGCTCGCCCGAGAGAGGCAGCGACTGCAGCCACAACAGCTCAGACCACGAGGACGGCTTCTCTGCAGGTAGGCGACTCCCCCACCCCCCACCCCCACCCCCCAGATCCCTCTACAGTGTATCCTCCAAACAATCTACTGGCACTCCTCCCTGGCAGACCTTGGTGGGTGGTCTTGTTTAATCTCGGGTACCTCCGAAAAAGGGGGTTGAGCTTTACTTGTTGACTTTACAGTCACTTTTGGAACTTATAAAAAGAGTGCAAAGTGAATTTGGGGCTTGGGTGAGTTTATGAAAATAAGTATGATGGCCATGCATGGCAGGGAGTGATGGATCAGTGGGCTTGGCCTGACCACCGGTGGAACCTTTCACTTCAGGTCGTGGCCTTTCTGTTCCGTTGCAGTATCACTTACTACCACCGCCCAGCTCCAGCCAAACCTCCACAGATTCACCAGATTCATTTGTGCCAACTTGTTAGTTTCTATATAAAAATCCAGTGGCTCCCCCACTATCTCCTGGTCCTTGGTGTGGAAGTCTATAAATCTACTTAATTTTCTGAACTTATCTCACATCTTCTCCAACCTTTATCTTGTGTTCTGGGTCCAAATTCACTCTGGAAAGGGTGCATAATGCTCACCAGTTTCCCATTGCTGACTTTTCACCTTCCTAGAAAACTAATCTGGGTTTGTTAGCTTCCTAGGAGCCTGGAAGCCTGAGAGGAGGGCAGAGCTTTGAATTATGTAGTTTTCAGCTGGCCCAGTGCCCAGAGATCCTGTCTAGTCCAGAGCCTTTACTTGATAAAGGAGGAAATTGAAGCCCAGAAAGATTAAGTGCTTGCCCAGGTGAACTGAGACCTTTGCTAGGGCCTTCTGTTGTTTCCCCTCACATTTTTCCCCTTTTCTGAGGACAGGGTCTAGTCTTAGTCATCTTTGAATCCCCTTGTGGTGGTCAGTGTTCAATAAATATTGGCTGAATAAATGGATGATTACATTGGATTGAATGACCACCCAGCTCTTCATAATTCGGGGAGTGGAAATGAGGTAAGGAGGAAAGATCAGATGGTGATGTGGGGTGGCATGTGACTGGCTCTTTGCTGTACCTGGGGACTGTCACAGTCCCGACAGCCATATATTGGTATCTAGTTGAGTCAAACCACATCCAGGAATTTAGGATGATGCCTTCTTGCTCAGTAAAGAAAAAAAAAAAAAAAAAAGGAGAAGAAATCACTGATGCTGGGATTGTTCCAAAATCTCCATTATTAGATCTTATCTGGGTGAGTTTGCATTTGAATGAGAAACTGTCCGCTTTGCTAAAAGCACATTTGGAAGGTCCAGCAAGTCATCTGTTTTGATCAATTACACTTATTCATTAGCAGAGATTGGCTGCTTTTCCCATAGGTAATGCTTTTGCCATCCATGCTAGTAACATTTTTTATGTGCCCCTTTAACTTAAAGCAAGAATCTGAAGATTTCATCCTGGTGCCAAGTTCCAAATGCCCTCAATGGAGGCTACCCAAGTGGCTCTAGCTGCTTCAGAGCTGGCTCCAATCCCATCTCCCCCAAGACCTGCATCAATCACTCTTTCAGGTGTGCCCAGTGCACTGGAATTTCCCCCAGGTGTGATTTTTATTTCTCTGTGTGGTCTCTCTCCCTAAGATCACTCTAGCACATACAGGGACCTTGATGCAAATCAGAAACTGACAGTGCCTCTGGGCTAATGAATTGTAAAAGGTACCCCCTCTGGATAGATTGATGATAATATTCTCCTTCTTCTGGACTAAAGACTCCAGCCAGAGCACATCTCTGGCACTCATGGCTTTGACTAGTGCCAGAGCTGTATTTCAGGTCCCACACCAGACCCCCCCTGCAGGGCAAGCTTGTGTAGGGGATTCTACAGCTCAGGTGGAGGCCCTGCCTCTAGTCTTTCAAACCTCCTCAGTGAGGAAGTGAATAGGGGTGGATTTGCACATGCACACACATGCACGCATATATACATGCACATATACTCATGTACATACATGCGCACCATCATGCATGTGTGTGCACATGCACACAGTCTAGGAAAAAGACTCTTCAAACATACAGGGAGGAACTGGAGTGAAACAATCGAGGGCAGGGGCTTTCACACTGTAGGCAACAGCCCACTGAAATCAGACAGAGAAAGCATTGCAAGGTCTTCTTTGATCACCCTTGACCTTCCCTTCTTTCTTCCCCCTCCATAGCAGATCATCAAATTACCACCTCAGATGCTATGATTTTGCCTATGGATTGGATTCTCTCTCTCTCTCTCTCTCTGTCTCTCTCTCTCTGGTGAAATCAGAGCTGAAGGAAGGCAGGGATTTTGGCCTCTTGCAGCCCAATACCCTAGAACAGTATCTAACATACATTAAGTGTTCCAGACACATTTGTTGAATGTTATACATCATAGGAATAAAATAGAATAGGGGCTGGGGTTGTAGCTCAGTGGTGGAGCGCTTGCTAGCATGTGTGAGGCACTGGGTTCGATCCTCAGCTGCATAAAATTAAATAGGTATTGTGTCCATCTATAACTTAAAAATATATTAAAATAGAGTAGAAAAACATCAGAGCTCAGGGTGTAGCTCCATAGTAGAGGGCTTGCCTAGAATGCACAACACACAGGGTTCAATCCCTAGCACACACACACAAAGAGGGGGAGAGAGAGAGAGAGGCGCGCGTACAAGAAAGAAAAAGAACAAAACATTAAAGTGCATTGCACATAGTAGTGCTGAATATTATGCTGTTTTAAAACTATTTCAAGTATATATATGTGTGAGTATACAAACACTGATTAAAACCATGACCTCAGACTCATGTTGCTTACGTGACCTTGGAAGAGTTATTTGACTTTTTTTGTGGCTTGTTTTTCTGTAAAATGGGGCTGATAAACACTGCTTATGCTATACTGTTGATATGGGGATTAGGCAGGATATTATCTCTAACCAGATCTGAGCAGGTCCTAGCACATAGCAGCCATGAATGTCAACTAACCACTGCTATGGGGTTTTTGTTTTCTTTTTAGTTGACTTTTCAAAGCTTCCTACTTCCAGATCATTTGGGATCAAAGATGGTTTGGTTGTCTATAACATATGGGTTTTTAAAAAATTTTTTAAAAATATATATTTTTTTTTAGTTTTTGGCGGACACAACATCTTTGTTTGTATGTGGTGCTGAGGATCGAACCCGGGCCGCACGCATGCCAGACGAGCGCCCTACCACTTGAGCCACATCCCCAGCCCTATAACATATGTTTTTACCATATTTTTTTTTCCCTAGCACTACTCTGGCTCTTTGTAGAACCTCCCAGGAAGAAGGGGAGGTAGTAATCTTGGCTGATGAGGCTCTTTGATTGGATTGGTCCTCATACTATTCTCTTTCTGTGCCAATGATCACACCCAGTATCTGTACCCAGAGGACTTGACTGAAGGGTAGGTTTTATTGGCAATAATAGGCTTTGCCTAGGTCTCAGGGTTTCAAGGACAGAGAGTATACAAGGCCTTATATAAAAAGGCTCAAAGGCAAAGTGTTCCCCTCCTTGGAAAAGGGACATTTTCTTTTAAATAAGGGACAGATCCCTAAACCAAGAGGGTTTAGGGATCTTAGCAAGACCCTGTCTGAAGGCTCTTTGAGGGCTCTTTGCACACATGATGGAAAAATCATAGTCTCAATAAAGTTAGAAGGCCAGTTCATTTAGTATCTTTCTTTTAGCATCTTGATACATGAAAAGACTAGGCCATGCTGGCTTGGTTAAAATTGGGGGATGAGTTGGTGCTATGAATGGGGAACCCAGGCAGGCAGAGCCAGGACAACTGTGTCATATCCTGTGTTCTGTGAAGTCAGATCTGCTTCTGTGTCCTGACTCTGATCCTTACTAGGTATGAAGCCATGGATAAGCCACCCTGGTCTTTTCCAAACCTCTGTCTCTATTCCTCAGGTGGGAATAGCAAGAATAGTGAACACTTACTGAGGGTTTACTTTTGCCAGCTCCTGTTCTGAGCACTTTATCCATATTAATTTGTTTATGCTACGGAACTTCAGGGGACAGCACTACTATTATTTCCATTTTTACATATAAGAATCATGAAGCTTGGAAAACTTACATAGTGCTGCCCAAAGTCACTCAGCCTATAAAAGGATTACTAAGGATTCGAACCCAGGAAGTTGGATCCCAAGTCCATGCTTTCAAACACCAAGCTGTATTGTCTCAGATACTGCTATCTACAGCCAAAAATATTTAAGAAGATTAAATACAAGAAAATAGCCACACACAGTGGCATTTGCCTTTAATTCCAGCTACTTAGGAGGCTGAGGCAGGAGGATCACCAGCTCAAGGCCAGCTAGCCTGGGCCTCTTAGCAAGACCCTGTCTGAAAGAAAGAGAAAGAGAGAAAGAAGAAGACTGAGGATGTAGCTCAGTGGTAGTGCACCCTTGCATTCAACCTCCAGTACTGCAAAATAAACAAATGAATGAATACATATAAGAAAATATTTAAAGAGTTTAACAGAGCACCTGGCTCATAGTTACCATGGAGTGCATACATGTGTATGTGTGCATTATTATGGTATTCTTAAAAAAAAAAATATATATATATATATATATATATATATATATATATTGTAGTTGGACACAATACCTTTATTTTGTTTATTTTTATGTAGTTCTGAGGATCAAACCCAGTGTTTTGCACATGCTAGGCAAGCACTCTTCTGCTGAGCCTCTATAGTCTTCTTTATTACTAAAATCCCAGCAAACCTCAGATCTGCTGCTGGGATCACCCATCAGGGATGCTGCCCATCTATAGGGCTTAAGGGTGGTCTCAGCCTCACAGCTGGATGTCAGACCTCTTCTGGGCACCCTTGGGTAGACAAAATGGCATGCCTGCACCCTGAGGCTCTGTATTTTCCTTGCATGTTGACATGCTTCCCTGGCAGCACCCCTGTCATAGGAGTTGAGAGACATGTCTTTCTCAGGTTTATGCATCTCTTCTGCAGCCTGTGATTTCCCCTGTGTGTCTGCAATCCTTGTGAACCAAAGTGCTGTTCTCTAACAAAGCC